TTGCTAATAAATAATAATGATTATAAAACAGTGCAAAATTGGAAGAATTTCTAATACGCAAATTTACAAAATTGAACTGTTGACTTCTGTGCCTCATGTTTGATCACGACAATTTATATTATGCACAGTGAATCCCCTAATTGCGCGCGTCCATTACCGAATGTATTCGACAAAGTTTCTCAAAATCGTAGGAAAGTGTTATAAAAGAAAGAAAGCAAATGTGCCTTAGATCAAAACAACATCTATTTGTCACGAAGATCTACACGGCGCACTGTTTGAAGATCGATAAAAAGTACCGAACGAACTGAACGAGGTCTCGAGCTTGCAGAAAAAAGGTTGTAAGAGAAGAACGCTGGGTCTTACAATTAATCCAGGCAATTTCTATTTTACAGAACGACCCACGGTTCGTTGATTGCACGCTGTTTAAACGAAATCGGTGAAAATGCTAAATAAAATTAACGAGGTTTTGCGAAGTGGTAAATGAAGATTTCGAGAGAAAGGAACCGGGTCTTACAATAAAAGCAGACAATTTTTATATTGCTAAAGGATGCGCCGTCTATTAGTCGTACACTATTTGAAAAAAAAAATAGGACGAAAGTACTAAATAAAATCGACGAGGTTCCCCAAAATCGTCAAAGAAGATTATGAAAGAAGGAAAGGATCTGTCTCCTAGTTGCACAGAGAGAAGATCGAAGCTACGAAATGATTTCGAATCGCTGGTTTCCGAAATCGTAGAGAAAGATTCGGGCATAAAGACGCCGCGTCTTGCAATTTCGCATGAAGAACGATCCGGTAAGGACTAATTACAATTAGCCGAAGAGTGGAGAGCAGCCGAAAGCTTTCATCGAGATGCAGCTAGGCGAGCAACGCTCATCAACCAAATCGAATGAATTCACGGGCCGTGGTTCCGAAGAAATTGGACGTTCCGCCGACGAATCGTTTTCCCCTCGTTTCCCGGTTAAGTTGCATTTAATGCAACCCTCCGGCGCATCCCGCCGGTCCAACCGGATGCCGGCTGTTTTCTCATTAAGGAATGGAAAGTTTCTTGCCCCGGAATGGGACGCGACGAGGACGAGGACGAGGACGCCGCCGACGACGACGACGACGGCGGCGGCAACAATATGGCGAAATGAATATCAGAGAAATATCCGTGAACGCTCGGCCGAACATAAGAATCCATTATCGGGCTTAATATCTCAGGCACTCGGCCCCCGCGCGTCCCTTTATTCCTTTTCCGGCGACGCTTTATTAGCGTCTCGTTTTTGCCGGGGATGAAGAGATCCCCATCGGCCTGCTCCGTGTCAGCTTCGTGGCGCGATTTCAATGGACGACGGTTAATTTGTTTCCCCGGATCCGATCGGGTCGGATCGTCGATCGGCTAGGAAATAAAACGGAATTGCTGCGGAGTAGGTATAGAAAGTCGGACGGAGAAAAGGTCGCGAACGTCAAAATGACGTTTGTAGAAAATCGATCCCGGTTTCCGTCACAGTATCATTTAACTTCTTGCACTGGCAGAATTTTCTCAGATTACCTGCCAGCGAACGTATTTATTCGTGAAGTAGCAAGTAACGATTCCAAGAAAAATGCGACAGAATCTCCGTTGCCTGAAAAAAAAGACACGAACGTTCGAACAATGGAACAGTTGTACAGATAACAGATCACTTTTCAAGATCATCTTAACTAGAGCTATTTACATGTGAAATGTAACGATATGATAATACAAATGATTATGGATCTACTGCATATAAAATGATCCAACGTTGAACGCAATTACGCTCTGTATTTACGTAGAATTTGAAATGAATTTCTGTAAGTACAGATTTCCCGGAGCAAGAATGCTTAATCCCGAGAGAACAACATGTTTACTGTCTTGCTACGTCAGCTGAGAGAGGGACATGCGAGTGCACGAGGTCAAAGACCTTCTGAAAACAGAGGCCGTCGCCCGAGGTTGACGTGCGTTTACATACGTGTCGATACGTGTGCCGCCTTTGTGAATTAGGGGTTCAGCCGGGTCTAAATTCAGCAGTCCTTCCCGAAGTTTTCACCCGAACAAAATTGGGTTACAGAGGGTTAACAGTGGCTGCCGATGGCGTCGAACGGTTTGCATTAGCACTCGCCACATTGCGCCAGTTTTTCCATATGAAATTGCCCGTTCTACTTCGGTGCAACGATTTTCTCCAGTGCCGCACTGTTTCTACGTATATGCATACGTACGGTTTAATAGACCGATCAGGGCCGGCGATTAAGATAACGTACCACACGGGCGAAAGCGAAGGAAACAGGTTTCCCGGAGCGTTACCCCGTTGCTCCTCGTTGAATAAAACCGTCGTAGGCCCTCCAAGCGGCAGCTTATTTTCAATCAGCCTCCCTCTCTCTCACTCCCTCTCTCTCTCTCTCTCTCTCTCTCTCTTGCTCTCTTCCTCCTTCTCCTTCTCTCTCCCATTCTCACTAGTTTGATAACGGTAGTGGCGGGACAGCGACGTACCGTCACGCAATCATCTGTGCTTAATCTTATCTTCGCCCCTAAACCGGGAAGCCGCGTAGAACACGGCACGAGTGCGGAAATACCGTTCGGGCTCACATTATCTTCTACTCGGCCGGCCGTAAGTAGGAATCACGAGAGATCGATCATTCTTGCGAAACAACGCGACCGGTGGTATCGATAGCCCCGTAACCTTGCGAAATTATTGAACGACCGACGCGAGTGGAAAACACGCGTTATACCCGTCGGCCAACGATCGCTTCCGGCCGTATTTTCCCGATACGACCGGCCAATGTCATTCGAGAATTCGTTTCAATCCCGAAAGAACATTAGAAACAATCGAAAATTACTGGTAGAAGCTGCTCGAAAAGGTCGGGATCGAAGATCGGGATTAAACAGGGTTCGGATGTCCGATCGTGTCCTAGCAATTCTACTTAAAATTAGCCATCTCTTCTAGGAGATCTGACGGATTTTCAAAATAATTTCTCTCGAAAACGTAGCACAGTATAAATAAATTATATTCTACGTTGTCGACTTTTATCTTTCGAGATGGGGCCACCTTTCTATATTCGGATGTGCACCCCTTGTATAACCAGAATTGTTGAACCATTGCTCTTAAATCTGGCCAACGTCTATGATACCTTGTTTTTTTTATAAAACATGCGAATCCACGCATTTCTGTGACTACTCTTTCTGCTATAATAAGATTAAAGCTTTCTACTTTATAATGATAAAAAGCTAATTGCCTACAAACTAATGCTAACTACAGACATGTGTACATCCCCTGAATCATTGTTACCATATTTAAATATATGATTATCTGATTTAAGTGCGAAAAGGTACCCAAGCTCGCCGACTCCAGAACTATCCACAATCGATGTCGACTACGATAAGAGAAGCTGTTTCACTAAAAAAATTTACTATCGCCGAAGACACAGCAACGAATGACTGATACCGAAGTGATCGTGCATCTGCATTTACGGTTTATTGCACCCCCGTCGTGCGATATTTCCAGGTGCCAACACATTTCCCGTGGGGGCGAGTTCGACGAAATCGACTTTTGACCAGCTGTGTCGAATGCTGGTGCGTCGCCGTAAATCGTGGGGAGGCAGCAAGAAGAGGGCACGTTGCATCAGGAATTAAATCAACGCGCCTTCGTTGATGGGGATGATGGAAAACGGGATGGAAAGGGACGGAGGGGATGTGTGCGGAAGGACGACGATAACCGAGTTGTGTAGATTGGAAAGAGGACGAAAAAGCTTGGAATAGGTGTAGTAAAAGCAAGAGGATGCAGGGGACACAAGAGCAGCAGCAGCAGCAGCAGCGACGGCGGCGGCGACGGCGGCAGCAGGAGGAGGAGGAGGAGGAGGAGGAAGAGGAAGAGGAGGAGGAAGAGCAACCATGGTGGGGGATCAATTTAGAAGCCGTGACTCACTCGACACGGTGACGTCGTTAGCGCACCCCCTTTCGCCCGCCCCTTTTGCCCCTAAAAAAAAGAAGAAAAAAGGAGAGAGAAGAGAAGAATAATCCGGTCACAACTCTCTCTCTAAGCGAGAACTAATCGAGGCCAGTGCACACCGTCTGGGGGAGGAATAACGGGGGTGGAGGGATGTTCTTGAATCGGCCGGTCGACGAGCCTTGAGTTTCTGGCGTGTCCGTGTGTGCCCGGTGTTGGCCGACGAGCAGGGCCGAGGAGGAAACACACACAGGCACGCATGAACACACAGAAATCGAGGGAGAGAAAGAAAGAGGGAGAGAGAGAGAGAGAGAGAGAGAGAGAGAGAGAGAGAAGGAGAGAGAGAGAGAGGAAATGAGAGAGAGTAAAGGCGGAAAGGGCACCGAGTCGTCTTTGTGCACGAATAACACCGGCGGTCCCTCGTTACGTCGAAAAACTCGACCGGCGCGGCACGTCGGTGAGGCGAGTTTTACCTACGCCCATGTATCTTCACACGCCAGTGACTGCTGTTTACCAGCAGCACGGGGAGGCAAAGAACGAAACACGGTGGGAAGAGGAACAAGGAAAATCGCGGGACTCGGGGCGGCAGGGCGAGAGGGGTGTAAACGAGGAAGAGGATGCGAAAAGGGGGAAGTATCCAACGCATCCTCTCCCCCGCGCTCACCGAGCCAGCGTCCCCTCGCCCCAATTACCGTGCCCATCGCGCACCACCTCATCCACGCTCGTAATTTGCATCCGACCTCTATTTCCTTCGCAGCCGTCGAATTACTTGTCCCTTCCGAAAGCTCGTAGTAGGGTGGCCCGAGAACGCCGAGGGACACACACGACTTCCTTCTTGCGTGCTCCTTTTCTCGCCGTGGCCGAAGATTCGCGGGGTTCTAGGGACAAGGGAGACCGAAGCGGGGAAGGAGGGGAGATTGTTTCAGCGTTTGCCGAACGTTAGGCGGTCGACCTACAGGTTACGGTTACGCGGTAGCTGACAATGTAAAGGAGAATACACGGGGGTTGAAATTACGCGCGTATGTGTCGTGTGTACTCTATGTGTCCTTTGGGTGTACTCACGAGGCACACGATCTACGAGGACCAGGCTCTCGGTCGGGAGATCTTCGAGACGTCGAGCGACGTGCATCCTATCAACGGTCCCTACCCCGTTCTTCGAGTCCTGGCGACGAGGACCAGGATCCTCCAGTTGTCACTCCGGCAACACCCACTTTCTCCTCTCTGGCCTCGTAACCTCGAGGGCTACTTTTCTTTCTCTCCCTCGCCTACCGTCGTCGGATGAGGCGCAGCACTACCCCGACACTACTACCACCACCATCCGCGCACCACCACGATACGAGATTCTCGACTACTACCAACGGGCACCACCACGATTGGAAACCACCACCACCACCACCACCGCCACCACCATCGACACCACTGCCGCTGCCACGAGTAGCAGTTTCGATACTGGCCGTCCCCGAACTCGGTGCCCGTGGGGCTCGATGTGGCCGAGAACCGGACTCTTTTCTCTCGTCCTCTCGCGCGTTCTTTACCCCCTTAGATCTTGTCCCCTGTTTGACTCGAGCATCGCCACTCGCCTAAGGTCGCGCACGTTTCCGTTGTGCGTGTCTCGCCTCCGTCACGGGCCACTCCTCCGCGCTGGCACGACGCGCGAACCACCCCCGTCGACGAACCAACAACCACCCCTCTGGTGCACGCCAGGCTACACGCGACGGTGTCGGCGAGCAGCACGGGACGATTCCGTAGCTCGCTCTGCGGAAACGCCACCGTGAGAGCTGGCCTATCTACGCGCCTGCCTGCGCTCTGCCAAGCCTCGACAGAGACCGCCCTCCTTCCACCCCGCCGCGACGCCTTCTGGCCAGTCACGACAGCAATATATGGGCGATCGTGACACACGCGTGCCCGTGACACGTCCCAGCATGCGCCCTTCTCAGCGCGCCTCAGCACAAGCCCAATGTCCGGCCTAATTCGCGAGACGGTGTCGCTGCTCTCGAACCGCCTAGGGAGTTTCGCTTCGAGGACGGCAAACCCGGCCGCGGGAACACTGCCGGAGCGGAGTGCTGGGCAAATCTCTGCGCTTCGAATGGGAAATCGATAATCAACCACCCTGGTCCTTCGCGATTTCTCTCGCGGTCACGCTGATTCAAATTTCTGTGCCGATCGCGAAAATCCTACCGTAGAATAATCGGTTCTGTATGTTTTATTCTGTTCACCGGTATCATGTTTGCGCAGACTGCAAGGTGTCACGTTTGATTTTTTTTCTAAAAATTCCGTGAAGATTCATCGATACAGTCTTTAGACGTGTTATTTAACGCTACGGTGCGCAAATGTTTCGAAAATGTTATGGCAACTACATGCTCGCAATTGTTCGACGCAGTTGCAAAAGCAGAATTGCCGACGATTTTACCACCTTCGGATCGTGAGAAATTCTAGTAATCATTCGAGAGTTGAAATTATTAAGATCGTTTCATGGGAAATGAATTTCTTCACTCGAGCATACGCAGAGAACCCGGAATGCAAGAATCCGAGAAGGAGAAGGGTTGGAAACAATGAAGGAGGAGGAAGTAAAGATAGTCATTAAAGAGTTCAAAAGATGTGAAGCCATGGATGAAGATAGACTGCAAAACAAGGATGTTTGGAGGGGGAGGGGGGAAGAAGTGAAAGAGAACCTAAATAGTATATGAACGGAGGGTTGGAGGGTTGCCCGGAAGATTGAAAAGAAGGATTAAGGTTTCATGTTTCCAGGCGACAGAAAAGGCATTAAGTATGGCCGAGGTAAGATGTGTGAAGTTTATGCAATGATTTTGGAAAATAGACTAATCCTCCCGGGATTCAAGAAATCTGAATCAAGAAAAGAAGCTGCATTGATAATTCTCTAGCATACGTTAAAATAGGAATGGTGATAAATCTTAATAAATTCTTTCTTATTAAAAAATCTTATATAGCATCACGCGCCATTCGCTTTCAGTGCCCCATAGGTTTAGCATTAACTATCTACGAGAAAATCATTTGTGTTCGGGAAGGCTTGACAACAGAGCTAGGTTCTTTTTAAGATAAAAAGCACTGGAATTTATAATTGTTCCATAAAATTAGATGGATTTTGAAAATGTAATTGAAACTAGAAGATCAGGATTTACCATAGAAATTATTTTTATTTATTTGTTTGCATTAATTCTGGACGTTCCTTTTCAAACTTTCTATCCACATCGTTTCAAACATGTTTACCATATTCTACTAATCACTACGGCTATTCGTAATGTACTACTTGAATTTCCCGCCAGGAGGCAGGGTTAGAGACTGGAACTCCTTCGGTCTAGGGATTTTTATACAAGAAGTCATATCTAACCTATAGAAGAACCGACACCAGTACATCTGAAATATTCTCTTTGCGGGCAACTGTTGAGCAGAAATTGTCAAGTGGCTTAAAGAAATCGAGTTTCGAGTCGATTTTGTGAATTCATTACCTCACAGCCACTATATTGATCCAGGACTGCTAACCATGGACAAAGTTATCGTGGTAGCGGCTGCGAGCCCGTGCTGATAATATAGTAACAATCCGAGATTATCTTTCTTCGGACATGCGACACAGTCGTATGGCGCGCAGCATATTCTTTCGCGTGTGTCCTTGTGTCCGATGATTTCCATCGTCAACGAATTTGTGAAAGGCGCCGCATTTACCATCAGGTAGCACGGTCGGCATCGTAGGATAGTGTCATGGCGCGACAACAATGACAAAAAGTGTGTTCCTGACCGACGAATCCGGTACTAAATATAATATGTGGGGCGGTTTTCGTTGTAACAAAGGCTTCCTAATATTGTTCCTGATTCATGTGATCGCCTTCCAATGTTTCATATGTGAGTGTTCATCCAAAACCACGTAACTTCCCATTATATCATCTATAGGGAAATGAGCGGTTCACGCATGTGAACGCAATTATGCATAAAACTTGTTATCCTGCATGTCGCGTCTACTGCGCATGTCGGCCGGGAAATTTAAAAGTTATCTGATATTTGTTTACTTTATGTCTGTAGATTATCAGGAACGATACAAATGGCAGGAGTGGAGAGACACGTTGGAGTCAATAATGATCGAACAAAGGGATGTGTACGGCTCGATAAATAGTATCATTAAACGGTTGGAGACTCACGGCGACTTCAACGGCAATATTACGCGGAAATTTGTCGACAAGCCGACGATCTACGCGATCACGCCTACTTTCGCTAGACCCGTACAGAAAGCCGAGCTAACCAGGTTACATCAAACGTTTTTGCATGTACCGAACTTTCATTGGATCGTCGTAGAAGATGCGAGGATGAAGACGAAAATGGTTACCCGGTTTCTGGAGAACAGCGGGCTGATGTACACCCATCTGGTCGCAGCAACACCGACCTCTTACAAGTTGGGCAGAAACGACCCAAATTGGAAGAAACCGCGAGGCGTTGAGCAGCGAAACACCGCATTACACTGGCTTCGCGAAAATCGAAAAGCAACAGAGAAAGGGATTGTGTTTTTCGCTGACGATGATAATACATATTCGATCAAGCTGTTCCAAGAGGTAAGAACATTAATGCCGGGACGATCGGTCTAGTTACGGAAGCGTTACGTAACGCGTATTGCAGATGGAGAAAATTCAAAAAGTTGGCGTATGGCCGGTGGGCCTGGTTGGTGGACTGATGGTGGAAAGGCCGATTTGTGATAACGTTACAAACAAAGTAGTCAGTTTCAACGCAGCTTGGAAACCGGACCGTCCGTTCCCGTTAGATATGGCCGGGTTCGCAATTAATCTGCAACTCTTATTAGAAAACAAGGAAGCAATGTTTTCTTACGATGTTGAAGGAGGATACCAGGAGAGTGAGATCTTAAGACAAATCGTCAAAAGGGACGAATTAGAACCTCTGGCAGACTGCTGCACGAAGGTAGGAATTGTCAAAATATTTAAAACATTCTTTAATTATTAGCGCTTATAGCGCCATCTAGGCCAACACGCTCATGTTGCCTAGCCAGTTAGCCTTGAGGTTTAACCGTAAGATGGCTGGCAGTGCTAGTTCCTTCGAATTATAGCGCCATTTCTTTGAAATATTGAACATTGATTTTGCTATTCTTATCCTTCGGTTTAGTTTATAGTAAATTCGTTTCTACATAGTATGCAAGAGCAAAATGGGTTTAAAAAACAGCGAATTTCTATTTAACATGTATAAAATGTTTCTTATATATTCAAAATCGTTTGAGTACAATATTTTACAAAAAATGTGCTTGCCAACAAAATGAGGCTTTAGTGTTCTTTTAAGTGATAGGAATTGAAACATTCTCCTATATGCAATGGCACTTTACAATGTTTGCACATGTACGACGTCTCCTTTCGAACTTTGTTTGAATAACATACTTTACACCTCCGTCGTATCCGTTTCGAATTTCCCGGTATTTTAACCAGCTGGTGTTGCCTCAGATCACCTGAAAATCTTTGCAACGAGTCGAAACGGGGGGCACGTGTTGGGGATGACGTTCCCGACGTAGAGGGGATGATATCGAGGTTAGAGTCCAATCTCAACACCGTTTTGTCTTCGATCCAAGCCGTTGCAATGCTTTCTAGAAATCCTTTGAACTTGAGCTTACTGTTACGGTTAATACTTTGGTAAACCTTGAAAGCATTGAACAAGCCACAATTGAATAAGTACAACGCAACCCTTTTAGTCCATTTCTGGCTTTTTCTGAAAATTGGGTAACACGCTATATACCGATCCGCTCGATCCACCCCTTTCATGTGCTGATCGTAATCTATTATGCATTTTGGTTTTTGAATGTGCAAGCCAGTTTTACGATTTATGATTCCAGTATTTATTACGTCGGAGTTATGTATAGTTGAAATCATACGAATATCTCTTTTTTTATCGTTTTTCCACAATTGAATGAGTACCTCTCCTTGCCGTTTGAATCGGGTTTCGAACACACTCAACTTACTTTTTCTTAGACACAACGGTAAACCTTTATTCGCTCTTATGGTTCCACATACTTTAATTTTCTTTAAAAGTAATTGTTTTGCGATCTCGACACTGTTATAATAATTGTCCATGTATATGTGATACCACATGTTAGAAATATTAGACACTAGTCCCCATATCGTACTCTCTAAGCTATTTTTGGTACCAGAGTAAATATCAAAATTACATACATAGCCTGTACTAGATTCGCATAACATCCTAATAAGAATACCATATTTAGTTATTTTAAATGGATTGTACACTTGAAAATTCTGCCGTCCTCTCCAAGGTATAATGTCCTCCTCTAACAACAATTTCTGCATGGGTTTGTAGACTTCGTTAAATTTTTCTTTAAAATGATCTATAATTGACTGTACTTTAAATAAACGGTCTACATTTCTAGGCATGTTATCGTTATCAGAGAAATGCAAACAGGACAGTATTTGGCGAAATCTATTACGACTCATGACTTTAGAAAAAATTGGGGTCTCTATGATCGGGTTTGTGGACCAGTAATCGATTAGTTTACTTTTCCTTACTAAACCCATTATGATAATTAAACCAAACCATTTCTTTAATTCTGGTACCGTCAGATCATTCCACCTCCCAGTACTTTTTGTTGCTGTGTATTTGTGTGAATTTCTCGCATAATATTTATTAGTTTCTATAACAATTGTTTCAAATAGGTCATCTGTGAAGTATAATTTAGTGACTTGTTCTACGCTTTCCAAACACGTGGGCAAAGCTTTAATGCCAGGTAAACCTTCGAAAGGTTCATTGTTTCTAGGTGAATCATCGTCAGACCAATCTAATGGATCATCGTCCTTTTCATCGGAGTCACTAGATTGTGCTTGCATTAGATGAGATCGTTTTTTATTGTTCAATGGTGAATCATCCAAATCACTATCACTAAAGGAATTGAAATCACTATCACTTAAAGAATCACAGTTTTCATAATTACTTGGAACATCTGACAAACAATCCTCATAATTCTCCCACAAAAAGGATTCTTCTTCGTTAGCCATTTTCATTAAGATCTGTGCAGCCTGTAACATTTGTGTATGATTCGAAGTTAAATTCGTATCAAATCCAAATTGCACATTGAAACAAACGTGAAATGTTTAATTACTATGACGATTAGAGAAACTGAATTTTCGGTTATGTCACATTTTAAATATAACAGAAAAGATGATTTAATAATGTTAATAATGACAATAATAGGAAAGCGGTAAAATGAAATATGTACTTTCTGTTGCTTACCTATACACTATCAAACAGAAGTGTGCAGGATAATTTTTGCCTGCTGTGAGTATTAAAAATAAAAGTTGGAATCGAAAATTCTTAGAAAAACATAAATGGCATTATATAATCCATAAATTCAATTACAAAATTTTAATAGTATAGTAGAGTAAAATATTTAAAACCTTGAAATAAAACCAATTATGTTTGCAATTAAGAAGTTGCGATACATATGACGCCATATCGCGTCATAGAACGTTAACGCCTATTATTATGGTTAGCTGACTTAACGTCATATAATACCATCGGATACCTATTAATACAGTAAAAACAGCATTTCGCTGATTTTTATTTACTAGATAGCTTCGAAATGTATTTAAAAACAATTTATTACGCTAAGAAGTAATTTTTAATAATAAAAGACTAATGTGTATAAAAAAAATATTAAAATGAAAATTTTGAAACGAATTAAAACGGATAGATTTTTCTGAAATTGATTGTAATGTCCTTTATCTGACATTATTTATGTGGAATTTTTGGTTAATGTGTAAATATTTACTAAAAGTAGCATATGGCGCCACGTCATGGTGTAACTGGAGTACTAATTGGTTAAAAACTTGGATGTTTCGCCACAGATGGCGTCATATGCATCATTTACCACACAGTTGCGTGGAATTCAAATATTTGCTTCTGAAAATTGATTCATAGTAAATATTAATTTTAGATAATGTATAGTCAAAACGAGAATAGAAATATTCTTTTGACTGATTTCAATAATTCAGCTCTAGATTGATTTTACTAATTTTCGAAATACTTACTGTCTGTTTTAATTATTAGGTGTTCGATGCTGTTTGAATAGTTTTATGACAAATTTTATCAACTGGGAAGCAATTCATGTTAAAGATTCTATTGATCTTTATTTCCTGTCTCAAATGGTTTCTTTAATGATTTCAAACATTCATTTCAGGTGTACGTGTGGCATACACGCACAGAACCGCCGCAACTGAATGTAGAGCAACTATTAATAAAGAAAGGCAAACGTTCGAACATGGGCATGGAAGTGTGATATGCTAGCATTGGCGTGCTATAGTTTGCCTATGTCGTTTTGCGATCGTTACGAGGACCTACACAGTGATAAAGTGGCGTTCGCAAATCAAACAAAAAATATAGCAGCAAATTTTCTATGTGCTACATATTATTTGACGCTTCATGGGAGAATGCTGTGCCATAAACGCATAGTTGCTTATAGTTGCATATTCGATCTAAAAGCAGGTTCTTCTACTTCGTGTAACATGGTTGGAGTATTGATATTATTTTCAAATTTTTATACGCTGTGTTAGTATAAGATTATTTTTTTTATACGTTTGTTAGACACATCCGGTGTGAATAAAAAAGAACAAAATCAAACGATTCTGATGGAAAGAAAAGAAAAGAAAAAATATACATGTGTGTGAACCGCAGAATGAGACGTGAGTTATTGACCTTGAAAATGTTCTTCATCCTTTATTTAAGTCGAGAGTACGTTTCTTTGACGCGTACAGAAAAAGCATACATAAAAAATATGCCTTACACCTACGAACTTTAATAATACCTCGTAATAATAGTTTATTTTTGCTTGCTTTCATTTTTTTTCTCCTTTTTTCGTTTGTTAAACTGGAAGAGATGCGCAGAGTTAATACTTTTTTCATGGGAAGCTACTTGGGTTACGGGTTTTTTTGGCAACGAATATAAAATAGCTAGATAAAACGTGACCCTCTCCGGCTCGTTAGAAGCCTCGAATTACTGGGTTGTGTGACGATTATCAGACGAAAAACTCGCCGTTTCGTTTGTTCTTCTTCATTCATTTCTTTTTTTTTTGTTTGTTTTTCTCGTCGACATAATATATATTTTCTCGTGTATAATATGTACTCGTTGACTTACAAGCTAATAAGTACTATATATTTGGCAAAACTCTGTGTTTACGGGTACGTAAAAAAGCTACCTGTGCAGACAGTGCGTTCGCAAGCGAGGAGGCGATGCTCTACAACTTTAAAGGTTCGTTTTCATTTCTGTATGTATGTATGTATGTATGGCATGCGCGCACGCGCGTGTGTGTACATGTGTGTGTGTGTATCTGTCGTGTTTTTAACTTGTAGGTACACATTGATCCTCTTAAATAAATATACACGCGATTGATTGCTCTTCCGGTCACTCTTCTTCCGCCGCTTCTTTCTTCTTCCTCTTCTTCTTCTTCTGTATCTTCTTCTGCATTTCCATTGCGAACGCACCTTCCGAAATCGCATACAACATCCTAAACTTACCGGACCCCCTTTCCTTAAACTTATCTCCGATACTCCTTAATGGTTAGGAAAAACGTTTACAAGCATTTACAAAAACTTATCACATTTTAAACTGCGTTTTTCTCGAAAAGCCATCTTACATATTAGGACAGAACTGGAATCTTTTTTTCCCGATAGTATCGAGTATCGTTAATTATATGTATATTTATATATGTATATGGCAGCTTTCGATTGTTCACTTTGTTGTTTCGCGGGTGATTCCCGACCGGAAGCGCGGACGAAATCCGCGGGATCCGATCAAGACTACTGTGATGATGCCTCGTGTAACGAACGTTCACTTTGTTGCCGCTGCTTCTGATTACGCTATACATACAATATTCAGAGAGACTTTGAAAATGTTACGCGGTTTAACTACGGCGCGTCGTCAACGCTGCTGTGATCGCCGATCAACAAACCGCCTGCCGTTGCAACGCGTCCCTAATTCCCGTATCTTACAGTCTTTAGGTATACCGCCCACGGTGTTGTCCCGACGATTCCGCATCAACGACACGAACCGCCAACCGGAATTCCATAGCAAAAGCTGCCCAAATTCTCGGTTCACTTATCTACTTAGCTTACACAGTGGACTAACGCAGGACACATAAAAACACTACCGTAAACAAAAACAAGAACGAAACTAGAGGGTGAAGTATGTAAAAACGAACAGACGAGAACGAACACGAAATGGTCGGGCTGTTCTTGCACGCGAAACATTTACATTGTGAAATGTACACGGTAAACTATCATATGATTAGAAAATATGATCACACGGACAGACCAGGGAACACGCTTCGCCCGAGGAATGCAACAAATCATACTAACCGCGACGAAACGATACACGGCCGGGGGTCGAGGCGACACAGAAAACGGTGCGCTTGTTAGTCGATTGTTCTTTTTGGCAGGCAATAAAGAAACAGTCTCATGGATCATCGTCGAAAGCAAGAAGTGTCCTGAACCGGTCGATCGTCGATGACGACCGGTACGCGGCTCCTCCCGCTTAAATGAATCAGTCTTTGAAAGCAAGGTCGCGCGGAACCGGTAACCAAGCGATTAGAAATCGACGCGAAATCGAACAATAGGAAAAATGAAATATGCGTCGTCTGGACCGTGCAATGTGGCTCCCGATCGAGAAAACGATCAGTCGAGGAATGGGCGAGGATAGGTCGATGGGATATAACCTTCGAAAGAATATATACAGAGATCGAGGGTTCACCAAAACGGCGGACCCCGTTTAGAGAGAGAGAGTGCGTCGTGTGCTCCTCTCGTTTCGCGTTCGCCTCCCGCGAAGCTTGCCCCGCGAATGGGAACGAGACGAAACCGGGGAACCTTGTCCTTTCGTTCCTTTATCTTTTTTACCGTCGTGCTGTGCGCACAACAACACAGTACTACCCAGCGTACTAGACTGCGATTAACTAGAGGGTGCCTCGAAGCAGTGATCACTAATCACCGACCAGCTTCTACCAATTTCGCGATAAATTTTGTACATTCTTCCTCCTCGTGTAAGCGATCTATCTAGGCTCCACCTTGCAATACTCGCTAAATGTTACAAATTACATCGATAGTTTCCTCTTTGCGCTAGGGGTACGACGACCACGGATCGCCGCGCATCGTCGTTTCGAATTACCTGTGTTTCCGTTTTGCTCCGGGTGTTTTGACTACGTTGACGAGAGAGGGGGGGGGGGAGAAAAAGAGAGAGCTAGAGGAAGGGACAGAGAGATAGGTTTTCCGTTTAAGGCTTTTCACACCGTTGCGAAACGGCCGCGCAACTACCGGGTGTCGAGAAATCTGACGAATCCTGCCGAAGAATTTGACTTGATGAGGTTGTCGGGCGTGTCGCGGTTTTGAAGCGGTCGAAACCCGATCCCTTGCGCTGTTCTACCGTGCTCGAACGACGGACGAAGTCCCGCTGGGTTCGAATTTTCCCGCCGGTTTGCGCACGATCACGGTATACAACCCGAGGTTCTGGCGCGAAAACCGTTTGAAAATCACGGCGTCAGCGTACTTCGTCACGTTCCGGAAACGTACGAGCAGTTTCGTATCGATTCGAGAACACTTTTTGACCAGAAACAGCGCGTTTCCACGGTTACGATTTACAATCTAGTACGCCGGAAGAATATCTAGACGGCCGAGTCCTTGCCGACGAACCCGGTCTTCGAGACGGACCTTTTCCCGTCGAAGGTGATCGATGTCTCCCGGCGCAGGCCAGTGTCGATGATCGGCGTGATCTTCTTCTCCTCCTTCAACGGCTCCTTCTCGTCTCTAGAACGTTTCAATCGTGACAATGATTAATTGGGAAACGTCGGCGCGCCGCCGCAGCATCATTACGGTTACTGTCTATTAATGGGCAGAAAAGAGCATGTCGACGGATGCGGCGCGATAGTGCAACATCGAATAATATGCATGAGGCATGCCATCACTCGTTAGTATCGTGTGGTCGCGTTCTGCGCTGGGGTGACTCGTTTAAGTGCTCGCGGGTGTCGAGGGTTCAGGTCGTTTACATTAGGTCATGATCATTTGGCCAAAGATTTTCTTACTATTTTACAATGTCTACGATTGTTTGAACTACGGGTTGTCGTTACTATGAGCCGAACACCATCGTTCTACTATTATTTGTTGAATTTATGATAAAGAACGGTTACTCTTTCAAGATTATCCTTATTGGTTGTAACTACAGCGAACGATCTTTATTATAAACTAAATACCATCATTCCATTTTTATTTTATTGGTAATTGTACGAGGAACATATTACTGGAGTAAAAATGCAAAGCGAGTTCTCTGTAATATCTCATTCGTGGACTGCAGATTTTTTGCATTTACGGCAAAAGTGAGATAGTAAAATTTTACGCGATCAAAAGAACAAATCGGTTTAAGAATATGCGTATATTATCTCCAATTTATTAGAATTACTGTGAAACGAAGAAAATTTCCCTCGTAATTTCGTGCTCCACCTTCGCGTCTATAAAAATCGTGCAACATCCAAGGTATTTACGATGCGAAAAGTGGGCTGTAACGCACAATTTAGTTCGTTAGAGATACAATATCTCGGACAAACTTCTCGAATTTGAGGCTACGAGCATTTATCGAGTCCCAGCAGCGCTCGTTCTCAATGTCTTTCTCGTCGCGAGTTTCAAGACAACGCGTTCAATCATCATCTGCAAGTTCATTCCGAGGATAGACGAGATCAGTGTCGAGGTATTCAAGATCGATATTTACATGAGATGTTTGTTTTTATACATCAGGCCTGTTCTCGATTACGCGAGAAACGGCATTACCTAAGTCCATAATCGACGTTTCGAATGGGACAGGGTTAAATTAGAGCGTGTTGGTGGAGTGTGCTACGTAGTTTAACGAGCAATTAATATCACTTCAGAGTGTTGATATCTCATGCAGCATAGCCAAAAGCACGGGCGGATAATGGGCGACAGTTTTATGCAGAGCGCGGCGGAGCGGCATGGGGGAGACATAGTGAACGGACAAGCGGTAAATGAAACATAATCGGATGCGACATTCGTTCCACGAGTCGTCGTCACTCGTGTGAAAAGTGGTTGGCGGTGGTAAGGCCGTGTGTTCACTCAAATGACATAAGGGATCGGGTAATGGGAACGTGGATAAACAAGAATTCATGCTCTAATCCTCCTTTATTGGCGACTCTCTTCACTTAGCCGTCATTTTGACACGTAGAGTGCCGACGCATGCATGGCACATCGAGATTCTAATTAGAGAATTGTAAGCAGACGGAATTGGCGATCGGCGCATACGCTGTTTCTTGATAAATAAACTATTTCTCTTTCTCAGCTATATTTCAATAACAATGGGGCTAATTTTTGGAGTACTTTAGATCTACTGTGGACACTATGCATCGGATCGTCGCATAAGTCGTGCCACTTTTTACCGCAATTTTAATTATAAAATAATCAGAACTGAAAATTTGTTCTCAATGCAGTCTCAATTAACAATAAACTTTTTCAATCATATCCTCCGAAATAAAATATTATTACTTTATCGGAGAAGCGAATGAATCCATTTTTTCAAATTCACAGATTCAATCTCAGTTTACATTTTTACGAGACCATCGCGTACACGAAGCATAAGTTTTTGTACACATAGGATGCAATAAAAAGCAGCAGGACTTATAGGATGAATCAATGATATCGTTAGTAAACTTTCAAAATACATTCTGTTCGATTATGCTTGGGCTATTCCACTGACATTCGGTGGAATCAATTAAATTCTATTGAACGTTAATCGTATTTACTAGCTACAATTACACGTAGAATGTAATGCTATACGCAGGGCCGGCTTCAGATTTTTCTCAAATCAATCAAAATTTATGACCTCGATCTGCCAATGCTGCCTCGTCCAGCACTTCCGATGTTCCAGGATATTTACCGGTATCGAGGGATCATAGAAGAGGAGGCGAATCGTGGAAGGGAGGACGGGCGAAGAAAGAGAGAAAAAGAAAAAGTGGATAGGGGAGAAAAGTCCGAGAGAGCATTAAATAAAAAAACTCATGCGAAGTAGAAAGCCGTGTCAGAGCCCCTTCGAGAGGGGCCATGCTTCTTACTGATTTCACTTATGTATCTCTCTTACATGGCAGTGTGTTTGACCAATCTAATGGTATTTTTTCCACTACCCGAGTCTTGGATGGCCGTGACCCCGGCGACATTGGCCATTTTTTGGTCGCAATACGGCAATGGAAACCGCCAACCGTAAAGACTACCGGTAAAGAAAAAAAAAAGAGAAAGATGCGAGAGGGTCAAAGTGTCTCCTAACGGCGGGCTTGATTTAAAAACCGGTTAACCAGGCCATTTAACATCCGGGAACGCTACCCAATGTTCGTTTTTCCTCTCTCGCCGGCTTTTCTTTTTATCCGCCGAACAAACGTTTCTTTCGAACACGAACGCCGGAAATATTACCGGAGACGGCCGGTTCCGATTTATCGAGTGTCCATTAACCTCGGGAGTTACAAAGGCTCCTTTATGAATGGGGCGTCAGCTATTAAAACCCTCCATGAGGGCACAAATTGATGGAAATGTAACTCCATTACCGTCAGCTTATTTTATACGGACGAAAAGTGCCGCGGCATGCAGGCACGAAATTTCATTATTTACTTGACTTGCTGAAATATGTGCGAAAATATTTTATGCACAAAATCCCGGCGACATTCGCCGTCGAATGGTCGGCTTTCGTTTACCGAATCGAAACGCTATTGCCTGCGTAATCCTATCATTTCGCGGTATCCGGAAACGATGATGTTAGACTGTAACATAAATAACTTCTAACTAGGGTAGCGGAGCCGGTTACTGTGCGATAACCAATTGTTGTGCTTTTCGTTTGTTCACAGGCATAATTATCTTTACATTTATCGCGTAAGACGTTAAATTGCGTTATTCTTTATTTTCGAATTGTTTCATTTTCTTTAGTCTTCGATAAGTTGTTTTCTTTATTTTTCAATAAATCCTTTTATTTCTTTAATCTTTCAATAAGATAGATATAAAGTCGATCATGCCCGTAAACAAATCAAAACCATAGCAATTGATATTTTAAAGTCTTTCTTTGAACATCAACGACTGCGTTTCCTAAAAACTTTCGATAAATCACCCTCGTCGAATGTAATTGAACTTGTTTATGTTACGACTCGATACATCGGTTAATAATGTAATTCGCGTTCAATGAAGACAGAAACGAGGACCGGATTCAAAACCGGAACCGGGTCTTGAAGAATGATCCAAGAGAAATTAACGGCGCGTTCACGTTCTAAGATTGTTAGTCACGGCGATCGCGGATTCATTCAACGGCTGGAGAATGAAAGAACAAAGACCAAAACGAAGTTCCATGATGGGAGCTAGGTTCGATGACACGGCAATGTAGCGTCAGACTTGCCAAAAGCACAATGTAAAATAGATGTAATGTATATATATATATATATAAGGAAAAGTCGAGTAAAACTGTCTAGATACCGAGAGGGTGTAACGTGTGAGAATATCAACGTGTGTCCGAACGTAACACAATTGGAACGAGTCTCACCTGCCGAGTTTCGCGTCTTCTTCGTCCACAGGTTTCCGGCGGGATCGTTCGCACACGTAGTATATGATTCCTGGAACAGGGGCGAGCGATGAAAACCGATGAAGAGCACAGCACGATCGCATTTAGAAAATGTTGAAGAAAAGAAAGGCGACCGCGGACCCGGCGTTAATCAACGATCATAATTATCTCGCGTGACCGTTTCGCGTAAGTCACCGGCAGAAATTTCGCGCAAAGTCGCATATGCTCGGTCCGATAAATTCGCGTTGCAATTCCGCGAATTTATGCTGTGTAATTCCAGATAAGTTCGCGCTAGAGCTCCAAGTGAATACGCGATGCGGTTTCAGATAAACTCGCGTTGAAACGCCCGCTAAAACTCGTTTTGCAATTTCAAACGGTATTACACGTGTATTTCGCGTGGATTTATCTGGGAATTTCGAGTGCGCGCGCGATGCACTTTCGCATAAATTATTGCGCACGTTGCCGGATAAACGTTGCGCGACGGTCGATTTATCGCGTACCGGAAGATTTATCGCGCGATTCCTTACCTGTCTTATGGGCGCAACAGCAGATAATGTCGATCACGATGATGATAATGAACAGTACCGCGATCACGATACCGATTATGGCTGCGCTCGATATCAGCGGCCCTTGGTGATGGACCACGGTCGTGTCTGGACCTTGAAGAACGGAAACGTTGTGTCAGAAGATCGCTATGGCTCGGTTGCGCGTGTTGCAATCCGTTAGTGCAAAAGCAGTACTGAACGATGTTTGGTGATGCTAGAGTCAATCATCGGCGTTTAGGGGAAACGTACTGGTAGTTTTCTGTCATGACAATCGATAAGTAATTTCGATGTTTAATTAATCGGTTCGAGTAGGAAGTGTGCGAACCTTCGCTCTTTACGATATATGTACGGGCTTCGTTTTCTTTTGATTACTTTTGGCGAGAAAATGGATCTGTGGCACAGTTGAGATTGAGTATTCGCACACTGCTACACCGAATTTCATAGGCTGACTAACACCTTATGTCCTGAAGGCACTCTAGAGTACCGTTTTCATTAAAATGCTGCAACTAAACACGCTCATTCTTGTCCGAATAGTAAAGTAGAGTCCAATCTCAAGTGTTTTACTGTGCGCATTCATGGCCCAATGAGACTGCGAACAAAAAGGCGCCGAACGTAAATAAAACTCTGCGTACAGAAATGGCAGTGTAACATAAAAATGAAACGATCCAGGAACATAAGGGTGTCGAGGCTGGCTCCGAGAGGTTTCGACATCACCAAACACGTTACGCGGACGATTAATTTTAGTCTCCTGAAAAGAAACAAGATCGGCGGGGGGTTCTGGGGATGTGCCAAAAATCCGATTTCATCAAAGCGTAGACACACGTAAGGAACCAAAACGAGGAACAAAACGATCGAATGAGATTAAAAAAGACAAACGTAAAAAAAAAATAAATAAATAAAAGGAAACAATACAGAGAGACCAAACAAGCCAAACCGAGTGGGTTACCAACGATTGTAAGAAAGGGAAACTAGAAGTAATAGAAACAAGAGATTACGTCTATCGTCGAAGAAGCATTAATGATGAAGCATGGTTATGGTGACGTATACGAAAAAAAAAGTGGGGGAGGCAACGAACAGAGATAGAGAAATAAAAGAAGAAACCAATGAAACAAGTAGTCTGGTGGTTTGTGCACAGTAATTAAGCGCTTGAACACAGTGAACGGAAGCGCGACAGAAGAGAGCTTGTTCGGACTTTTCTGTCGGTACGCGAAGTAAAAGGGGGCGGGGGGTGGTTGTGCTGAGAAGCTCAAGGAAGGGGGAAGAAAGCTCATTCGCTACCTTTCTCTCCCGATGTTAGTCTCTACGCATCACTAATCTAAATGTGCTACCTCCACATAGAAAGCCTTTCCACTGATTGCCTTTTACTCGCTCGCTCTTCCTTTCTTTCTTTCTCTCTCGCTCTCTCTCTTCCTCTCGCTCGATCGCACGCTCGCACGTTCGCTCGCTCGCTCTTATTGCTTGAAGTCAACAGGGACTACTACGATATGTAATACTTAGCAGAATTGTATGATACACATTACACCGGCCGTTCTCCTCTGATGTGCTGAGCATATTTACCGTTTCGTTTGGAGCATCTCGCAATCCTGTTTTGCTTTTATACGTTTCGCGTTCTTTGCTTTGTCTGTCGAGACAGGTGAGAGCGGAAAATGAACGAGACGGCCGAGAAAGAAACCATCTCAAATTGAACCCTCTGTTCTGCCAACGATTTCACCGGGCCTCGAACCCTTAACGATCTTTTTAACCGATTGTCACCGTGATCACTCTGATCCACGGTTCTCAACTCTTTCGCTTTAGTTCTCTTCTTCGATTCTTCAATTATCAGTTTCAAGCAATTATCGTTTCAAGTTAACCATTCGCTCTCGCTCAGACTGCAATCGTTCAGGTTGCAGTTCAGATTTCAAACAACCGTCGCTCAAAAATTAGCGATACCATCGAGACCCAAAAATTTGAGAATATAATTCGAACATTCTAGAACATTGTTTTCTTTATTAGAACTCGATACGTCACTTGCTAGTATACCGAAATAATTGTTAATTTCATTCTTCTCGCGACGATGTCGCTTTTTCGAAAAGTAAAATGTGCGAAGGGTTAAATTTTGAACAAGTCGTGGTTGATGTAAGATATTTTGATTAGGTTTGCGATTTGAAAGAGTGTAAAGCCTCGATTATGCGAATTATTTGAGAGGACATCGGTAATTCGGTATTGATTTGTACACTAAGACGTGTTGTATATGAAACGATTTCTACTTCCGCGTGAAATGGATTCGAATAATCGAGGTTTTACTTGTTTTTAGAAGTCTGAATACAAGCTTCAAAAATTGAATCTCTTGTTTCGTCTGGCTGGAATGTTTTAAAATAATGCATGCTTCCTTCACATCTACGCCAACAGTGTTTTCCTCGTGATTTCATAATTAACATCAAATTACAACACAGCAAGAGAAACATCGAGAATGGTTGGATTTTTTAGAGATTGTAAAAGATCTAATAAGTCGGACTTCGTCTTGTTTCAATATCAGTATTTCATACTGCAAACACTTTATCTACCGGAGCTTTCTAACAGATTTCTTTCAAAATCGAAGATCAAGAGTTAAGAATTTCTCAAAAATTTGTTCAGAAACTACAATACACTCCTCCACAACCCAGCGTATCATTTACATTAAAATAATGCAAATTCGGTTCTATTGAAATCATTATTTGAAGAAAATGATCGAGCTACTCTTAGACAGGGTTCAATCATTGAAAAACCTATTGATAGGCTTTCGGTAAATAAAGTGTTAACATTCTAATATAAACTGCGCGAGCCACAGCGCGAGACCGTAGAATTTTGAAAAGCCGTGTTCGAAGGATACAGAACCGGATATTTTCCGATGCAGTACACATTTCGAAAATCTTGTACGGTATATATTTCAATAATATTTTCCTACAGAGGATATCACGCCGGTCCCGAATTTCGCGTTTATTCACGCGGAATTATTCATTGTCCGGCTTCTATTTTTTCCATCGTCGAAATCACCCCCTATATTTTTACCTTTTACTTTATCCGCGTGAAATCTCTCCATTTCTAGCTTTCACATTTTTCAGGCGCGGCCTCCATTTTCACTTTTTACGTTTTCCCGCACGACGAACGAAACCCGTTATTCGTTGTCCACCGCCTTTCCGCCAGTTCGGCTTTTCTATGCGTTCGCGAAATTGGTTACAATGTTCTTTGTTTCAAACATCTGCCGCGTTTTGGTCCGACTCGGGGTCGTTCGTTTCGTGTTGACTTAATCGTAGACACAATTTTCTCTGGTTCCGCGTGCTCCGACGAACGTATTACGTTCGCGGGCATTAAAACGATCTCGCTTGGGAAATGCGGGAGAACTGTTTAAACTGTTCAATCGTAAATTGCGTTAAGGGATCGAGCTTGTAAAATAGAAAGTCCTAGGCGGCAGCTGCGTTCGATCTCCCTCGATCGTGAATCGCGGATACAATTTGATGGTGGCTTCTCCGTCAGCGGTTTCAATTGGTCTGGTATTCCTTAAACACTCACATATACATATATATTTCCGTACTGATATTTACAATAAGTGTGGCCACATTCGTGGGGAGAAAAAAAATCTGCACGTTCACTCTCATTAAGTACGAATCGTTAGGCACTAAGGCTAGCACATAGTCCTTGCACGCGTGTAAATGTTTGTCCCAACCTATTATAATAAGAACTATCTACCTCTATATAGACGTTTGTACATACACGTGTATATTGTATAGATAATAAGTGTTGCTCGAGTATACTCCACCGGAAATTACGCGAACTTCTTCGACCGCGGACCTAGCGCCGCGAAAACGTGCTTGCTTTCGTTGGAAATGAGAAACTGCACGCAATGTTCCACTCGCATTCTTTCTCTCGTTGTGCAATTTCATCCACGGTACTTGGCCATGGTACTTTAGCACTGTTTCTACCACTTCGAAATGGAAGTACAAAAGCTTCGCTGTCAGAAAACACGAAAGTGACATGTACTTTCGTTAATCCACGATATCAAATTCTATCGACCCTTATCTGTTTCTTAGTTCTTAGTCGCTTCATTTGTTATCGGAGTTACGGAACTTCAATGAATCAATACGACCTAAACATGAACAATTGATTTTGTTAACTCTCGTTCTAAATAGGAAAATCTAAACAGAGACGAGAGGTAAGTTTCAATCGGAACAACGTTCTGTTCATAATTTGTCAGAACGATGTGCAGAAAATTGACACAAGAAACACCTTAGGGTCGATCAGCTCGAAATCAAATTTCTGTAATTTGCAACACGTGCGAACAATCTACGCGACACGAAAGATGGAACTTCGAATCCGCCCACGATAAAATAATCGCTCTACCGATCGAACACGCGAAAGTAAACATCGCGTCGTTGCGAAATGTCGAGCTAAAAATTCTACCAGAACAGAGCCTCCACTACTTCAAACGGTGAAATAAAACGTACGCGGTAGAGCCAGCGTGATTCAACGTGTGAGAACTACTTTCAACCAGTTGATTATTTCATCTCTAATTACGCGGGGCAATTTTTCTGCCGTTCGTCGCGGCGTTCGTCCGTACACATATAACTCTCTCCCCGTTCCCCTAATTGGAGTGGAACGAACAATAATGGTCCCGGGGACAATTATGCGCGGAATAACCATAACCGTGCAACTATAAGTTTCCCGAATAACCGTGGAACATTGCGCGGATCGTATACGGGGCTTTCTAGCCGAGGGTTACGTTCGTTTTCGCATTCCGTTCCCGTTTAGCCGCGTCTGTCGGATACACGCAGGGCGACGACGGCGCACATTCGACGAGAAAGGGAAATAATAAGAAGCTTAATAAACGTCGGCGACGAACGCTCTCGAGGAAAAGGAGACCGTGTCTCTCTCCTCGATGGCTGCAATTGGCAGGATCGTGTCTCGGTTATTATCGTCATTATTGTACGCCGTTACGTGGTCAGGCGCCGCTGTTCCTCCGAGGGAGGAAAAGTGTCCGCCATGCCGTGGCGTACAGAGAATTGAAAAATAACATCGTTCAGAAAAACCGGGCGCAGAGAACGAGAGAATGAGAGAGAGAGAGAGAAAAAGAGAGTGGAGGAGAGAACCGGAGAGAAGGT